ATGATTCATTCTGCAATCTGCTGTTGTCTTAACAAGACACAGCGATGGACAGATACAAGTATCAAGCCAACGGTGGTCATACTTAATACCATTGTATTTACTGTCCCGCTATGTGTGCCTCTTACATAGACACCATACCTGGATGGCATACTATAATAACTTCAAGATCTTTAAAGTTTATGTTAGCCCTCACATCGCACTCTGGTTCTGTGTGTAGCATTAACACTGTGCACGTGTTTCAAATTAAACACTGCACGTGGTTTCTTTTATAGTTAAAACATTCGTAGTACAAGATAATTATCTTTGCCATGTGTATAAAACAATACTACGTACGTATCATTTATCATGCTTTCTAATTAAGTATATGTTGTCGCCACCTGTAATTACGTGGTTATGTAACATGTTTATTTTTAGCTATGTTAGTAGTTAGTCAGGACATTGTTGACCTGTACTATTTGTTTATTTTCAGATATTGTCCTTTTTCTTCATAGAAGCCTTTTTCTTCATAGGCTTCTTCTCCATAGTTCATAGTGTCCTTTTTCTTGTTTTCATCATAGGAGAGCATTAATTAAAAAGCTATAGTCCTCTGTTAGTCAGGACATTGTTGACCTGTACTATTTGTTTATTTTCAGATATTGTCCTTTTTCTTCATAGAAGCCTTTTTCTTCATAGGCTTCTTCTCCATAGTTCATAGTGTCCTTTTTCTTGTTTTCATCATAGGAGAGGATTAATTAAAAAGCTATAGTCCTCAAGACCTGATTGTTTCATTTTGATTTTGATCTTATTTATAAAACTGTAAGCTAAACGTCATCCACTCGGCTACAGTTTGGCGCTGCGAGCAGGGTCAATTTACACTACTACAGTGTTTTGGCGTTGTCACCTAAGGCAACCCCAATCTCCTCCGCTCTACTACAATAATATAAGATTTATTTAATGTTTGTGCACTGTTGATGGCTGATTGGAATGTTGCATATTTACTTAATGCAAGAGTAGTCAAAAGTTGGCCTCTCTTCTGTAGATTCTATTTGTCGCACTAGCTTTTGCGGTACGTTTGCGGTCATGTTGCAGGTATGGAACAAGGAAAAGGTTCAAGAGTCGTGTGCATCAAAATAAATTGTATTGATAGAGTAGGAGAATATTTTGAGAATTGTTGAAAACTAAAGTGAGTAACAATAATACAATTGCTCCTTGAACGGATTTGTAAAATCTGTAACAACTATCTTGCATCTCAAGAAATATTGAAAAAGAATGTTCGACCTGCTCCTCAACAAAAGGAGATTCGACCAATGTAAGTAGCTGCCGGGAGACACAAAGAGAGAGCTTATGGCAATAATTGATCACAATGACAATGCTTCTATTTTAAGTGCTGGGTGGTTAGATGAGGATGATGTTGACTTGTCTGGTATATTAGTTCTGCAAGATGAAAATGATTTATCAGCAACTATGCATATTGTTACGATACCTCAACAACTAGCTACTCCTTGGAAAGATGATAGCAGTTAGAAACTTTGCTACAATTGTCAGCTTTACCGACAATAAGGAAAATTTCTACTTTAACAAACAATGATATTTAGTCTTTAACAACCTTTTCATTGATTCTGAATTAAAACATTTAGTTGTAAAGATTTTTAAACTTGTTTATTAATAATCTGAAGTTGTATAAAAATGTGTGTTTTTTGTGGGGGGGGGGATAACAACTTGACATAATTACTTAGGGGAGTCATTGAAAGTTTGGCAGTTGTTGATAAGGGGGGAGAGGTGGTCAAAAAATGCTTAAAATTCGTTGACGTAATAAATGGACGCCCCCTTAGTCTTGTGATTTTATATAGACTACAGTACACTACGTTATATAATTAAAATCAAATAATAGTAAAATACTTATATTTAGTATTGCTTAAATTTGGATAATTTATATTTTAGCCTTTAATCTAAACATTTTATTAAAAGATATCAACTAAATAAGCAAGACTAAAAAAAACAACATCAGATACATTATTTTTTATTAGGACATATAAAAGCAGTTTAGATCTACATTTATTTGACATATCAAATACAATTTAAAAAAAAAAAGAAATGAATTTTAATTACAAAAAGGTGAAAAGGAAGCAAGAGATTGTGTAGATTCATGATCATGAATACAGTTTTTGTCAAAGTCACTTTAGGGTACAAGAGAAATTTTTAAATTTCTATTTAAGATATTTGTGGAATTCCTTGCACTACCATCGACAGAAAGGTACGTATGGATGTAGATTGCAAAAAGAAAGTTGATGAAGGAGATATTTTGGGACTCACCAACAAGATCAAGATTTCTGAAGCAGTCTAAGTAGAAAATTATTGGCAGATCATCCCAATTACATTTAAAATTTAATCACGTACCGGTATGATTGTATTAGTCTTTCTAGTGATATTATAAGTTTTTGACAGTAACATACAAAAAATGTACATTGTGTTACCAAAACAATTGTAAACTGTTCAGAGCATTTGTCAGATGGTTTGTTTGTGATATATTTCTTTATTTGATAAAGAAAAAAATATGTTTTAAAGAATTTTATATTTATTTACTATGTGAATGATTGGATCACCTGATCCGAATCTTGGTGATGTAAAAAAAAAATAATTAAATATTATTTTTTTAAAACGTGATCTTCTTATTAAGTGTTATTCTTCATTAATAATTAAATGATGTTTTTCTAAGTCATAATTTCATGCAAAATGTGTTTTTCTTTAAAAAAAATATATAAAATTTTGTTGTTACTTTGATGGAAAAATTTCCTTGAATGATATGTTGTCTACAGATAGCCATAAAAGTTTGTTTATGATTCCCTTTTTTTGGAAACTTGATTATGTGTGTTTTAGTATTGTTTACATTTTTTTCTAAAATATCAAGGTTATCGCTATAATTGGAAAAAATAAATTTCTTTCTTTCTTCGTAAAAGGTAATATCATTTGTATTAATTGTTATTGTAGACCTTAAAAAATATGTTTATAATAAAATAACTATATTTAAAAAAAGAGCATGCAATGGCGTTAGTACGAAATTCAATAATTGTTGTTGGCTACAAAATTAAAGTCATTAGACGCTTTGAATGATATGTTATATTAGGTTGTAAAAAACTGAAAAATCTGTCATAATTTTAGGGGTTAAATAATGGTTTAATCCAGGGATTCGTTAACTGTCCGTTTCGGCACCCCTGATTACTCTCAGGAACTTTCCGAGAAGTAAAAAAATACAATTTTAAAAAATAAACTCGTTATTTAATAGTGCACTTGATAAAGGTTGTTTTGGGGGGAAAATGAATATAGGAATGGCAGCGTGCCTTGAAAAACATTGGGAACCTCTGAAAAAATCAATTAACAGAACTGGACATTGGACACAGAAACGTCTGCTTTGAAGATCAGAAAGTTGTTGCAATCTCCTGTTTCAATACGTTTATTAAAACTGCACAAATATTTGCAGTTGACTGAAATCTGAAATTAAAGGAAAGACAATGATATTATTTCATGTAAATTATTTTGTATCACTATGAATATTAGTGTTTTTTATTTCAGTTTTGTTAGCAATATACCGTCCTCTGTCATTGCCATCTTTCAACAGAAAGACCTGCAGAATCCTGCAAGACCAATTATCCAACACATCACTATCAGACAACTATGAAACGCGTAGCTCAGAACTACAGAAGCTATGCAGTGCGTTTGAGCTCTTGATCGGTAATTCACGAGCAGCCACATCCCAAAAAACGAAAACCGCCTTAGTTCTCCTTATCATAGAACTTGTTCCGAGGGCCTTACCACAGTCGGGCAGCGCAACATAAAATAAAGTGACACCTTTAATATCTCTGACTGAATGGGTAAGTTAAGCGATGATTATTGAATGCTGTGATTCGACAAGTTATCCAAGATACAGTTTTAGTTTCAATGTATCACATGACAAATGTAAGGTTCTTTGTTACGATGTGATCAATAAAAAATTAGGTTTTAAAACATCTCAACACTCAATAAATCGCCATATTAACGTATTTGAAGAATATTTAAAATGGACTCAAAATAACTTTTACATGGCTCCGAAGCCCGAGTCTTCAAAATATGCTTGAATTAAAAAATTATCCAAACGAATATTTCTATTTATGTCGCCATCAAACTGCCAGTAAAAAAAAACATGAAACAAACAATATAACAAGCCCAGGTCATAACAGAAAGTAAAATGATAAAAATGCAACAGTACCTTGTATCCACACTGATCAATCGAGATCTCCATAGTGAAGGGGACACCTTTACAAAAAGGGTTACACTGAAAGACTTCTTCCTTGCCCCACCCACAGGCCGTCCGACTGTTGCAGACGACAGAGCAGCTATTAAATCTGACTACGAGGTGAAAGGCTATCACATCACAGTCCACGTTTGCTCCAAGGACGATGTTGACACTAAACCTAAGAAATCAAGAAATGGTCAAGCGTCGAAGAAATAGTTCCTGGCGCTACTTAAAATACCACCTTCATATTAAATACTATTGAAGTTATCAATAATATAGGCAATGGCCTGCTTTAAAATATTATTTACATTTATTTTTAAAAAAATAATTTTTTACATTATATTTCTTTTGTTTTCATGGGGTGGGGGTGAGATGGTGGGCCCTATCACTAACGATTGCGATAAAACTATGGTGAGTTGTCATCCACAAGTTGCTCTAAGTCATGCCAACGCTTTTAAAATATTCCATTTTAATCTAGGGCATTATGTCCGTTTTTCCTCTTATTAGCTGTATAAATATAATTGAAACAGTATGCGCTCCTATACCATTAATGTGATTGCGATAAAACTATGGTGAGTAGTCATCCACAAGTTGTTTTAAGTCATGCCAACCCTTTTAAAATATTCCGTTTTGAGTGGTTGCCCCCTTACATTAGCTATGTAAATATAATTCCGTATGCGTTCCTATACCATTAAAATGTATGTGAATTGATATGCGACCGCCGCAGGGTTTCAAAGCTGTTACTAACATTTTAAATCATTACGTTTTGGGGCTGGCAGACCTTATTTCTTTTTTTCTTATATGTGCTATAGAAATGAAATTTTTAAAAGAAGTAATGCATTGGTGGATGGAATTTTAATCAAATACGAATTGCGACATTTCAATTTGTGTGTGACATAATAAGTAAGTTTATGAATTTGTATAACTATTTTACAATATTTCGTTTTGGATTCGAGGGTCCTAAATTTGTTTCTTTTTTATTATATGAGGTATAAACATGTAATATTAAACAGAGCTAATGTATGAGTGGATACAATTTAATCAACTACAAACAGTGATATTTCCGTTTTTGTATGACATAATTTAAAAGGTTTCTGAATTTGTACAACCATTTTGCAATAATCAGTTTTAGACCAGGGGCCCTAAATTATATTTTTTTTAATGATATAAGCCTTTTTAATTATAATTTCCGTATGTTATCCTATATCATTCATCAGATTGCGATAAAACGTTTGTGAGCTGTTGTGTGCATGGCCGCAAAAGTTTTTTGAATACGAGCAATGATTTTACAATATTCGGTTTGGGACCTAGGCCCTAATTTCATTGTTTTTATTTGAGCTTACTAATTATAATTTCAAACAGACCTATTGCATGGGTGTATCAATCGCAACCGGTGTGTGGACTAAATTTTGAAAATCCATGCTTCTCACATGGACAGCTGTGTGCAGCCAGCTCACGCTTCGAAAAAAAACTTCAAATTTATTCGAATACGCACCAGGCGGTAAAAAGAAAATGGGTACATAAAAAGCACATTAAAAACATAATTAAGACACAAACACTTTGTTTCTTTGAGTTTCATTGCAACACATACCGTGCACTCGCTAGTAATGATATATATATATATATTATATATATATATATATATATATATATATATTGTTAAAACGATTTACTTTGTTTTCTCTGTTTTATCTCAAATAAAAATGATTGGAATCTAACCAGCAACATTGTTTGCCACTTCCTACGTAGTCAAAGTGAAAATATAATATCAAAACGCAAAGACCAACCAAGGCCGTAATGTTTTAAATAACATTACTTTAATAGTAGGCTATAGACATCTGTTCCCAGGACATGCGATGCCCAGAGGTGCAGTAGTAAGAGGATTAAGTGACCTATATATGATTTTATCGTTTAATTTACTATTTAGGGTCAAACTTCAAACGATTTTGCCGCCCCTTGATATTGGCGCCAGGGGTGATTTGCCTTTTTTCCCACTCCATCGCACGGCCCTGAGTATATAAAGAGTTACGGACCTCAGTTCATTACAGTGCCCAGGGTCTCAGCTGCTGTAAAGACGGCCCTGGTCATAAGTTCCCGAAAGCTTTCCATTACAAAATATAACTGAAAAATCAGCTTGTAACTAACCATTTAAAATAGCCTTGGTCATATTCGCATACAAAGGACGAACAGCCAACACAATAATCAATTCCATTGAATGATAAACATAATAGCGATAATGTACACGCTCTATCATTGTAATTAATGTGGGTAAATCTCAGACTCTACGATGAAATGCACACACCAACTAAAGTTAAAAGTGGCAAAACGCTGTGTACTGGTCCTTTAACTTCTTGACCTTCCACTTATGCCCTACGAAAAACCTTCCCGAGGCCCTCACGTGAATAGCTATTAACTGTTGCGACATCTTTATTGTTCTGACTCTGGCTTGGTTGCCCGCCTTTACGTCCATCTGGTTCATAGATCAGGGAGTTTCGATGCGGCCTGCTTAATATTGAATGGATCTGACTTAGATAAAGAAAAACGTATCTCTTAAATATTTCACCGTCGATATCTGATCATTATATAACTATCAGTTTGCATTTTACATTCTTCTGATGTAGAGAACATTTTATTATGTTAAACGAAACAACCTGCGCTATGTCGTACATAAACCTGATTTGTACGTCATTCAAGAATGTATCATTTGCTTCAAAGGCTGACGTCAATTAACTGTCAATTCAATCTTTGATATTTAAATCTGCATACGAAGAAATTGGCCATGGTACACATGCCATTCGTAGACATAATACTTAGTTTTGAAATCATTTATTTAAGGTTAAATTTTATATGAAAAAATTACCTTTTTTAATATATATATTATACTGCAATAGTCTGAAGAACCATCATTCTAAATTAGTATTATGGTCAGCTTCGGCCACACTGTTCTCCTACCAGTGATATTGCTGCTACAGGAATGTCTAATTCTAAACTTACGACACGTCGTTTCAATTTTCAAACAAAGTAGGAAGTTTTTTTAGTTTTAGTTAATTAAATCTTGCAAGCACAGGGAAATATGTGAAAACACACACATTGAGACATCACAAACAATGAGACATGTCACATTAAGACTTGACACACATTGACAGAACACACACATTGAGACAACACATACATTGAGAAACCACACACAATGACATAAAACAGCATTGAGACATCACAAACATTGAGACATGACACATAATGAAGTGACACATTGGGATAACACACACATTGAGACAACATACACATTGAGACAACACACCAATTGACAAAACAAGCGCATTGAGACAACTTATACACCGAGACAAAAAACACATTTAAACATCATCCACATTGAGACATGACCCACATTGAAACATGACCCACATTGAAACATGACCCACATTGAGACATGACCCACATTAAGACATGACCCATATTGAGATCCGACTTACGTGTTTGCGTTACATTTGGGCGTTCCATGGATGATTATCTTTTTTCCTGGAAGAGGTCCTTTTGGAATGCGGTAGACGTTGGTGCACTGAAAGTAGAGATGTCAAAGTAAACAATAGCAATTACTGACATATGTCAAACAAATGTTGCAGCAGTCCCTCTTTCTATCCACACAATCCCTGAAAATAAACTTTGACATTCTTATCTTTAAAAAATTTTTTTGGATTAATACTCAAACTAGACCAGTTTACACCGTTACTAAACCACTCAAAAATACAGCAAGGAACGGAACATATGAAACAACGCAGGTCATTGAAGGATTTATTTTAGCCTCCTGTTGTTCGTATTTCTGACCTCAATGACGTACCCACTATGCCCTTAGGAAAACAATTGTTTAAAATGTACACTTATATATAAACTAGCAACGCCTTACAAAAAGTGTATGCATAACATTAAATGAAGCATTGACAGTTTCAAAACATATGGACGGTGGTGAAGAAATTAGTCTCGATCAACTGTGTCATTAAATCAAATATAAAAAACTACAACATAAAAACTTACAGACATGTTGATTGGGTTGATTTCGGTGATTCGGTCAATTCAATTGTCAGCGTGCGATGAGAAGGTAGTCAGGAGGTCTTTCAAGACGTTTTACTTGTTACTTAAGAATGATCGAGTTGACCAAATGATAGCAATAACGCTACATTTTATAGCAAATCTCTCAGTTTTGTGTGGGTGTATGTGTGGGGTCGTGGGTGGGTGTTTATGTATGCCCGTGTTTGTGTTAAAAAAGAATAATGACATTTACGTAGCACTAACAATATCCACAATCCTAATTTTTGCCGCCTTAATCAAAAGAATAAATTTCCGGGATCGACAGTGGCGTCACTAAACAACAGTTAGAGGACAGGTGAAAATCGTAAAAATTATAATGGAAACGTATGAATACATCACTCATTAAAATATTATTTGTTTTATTTATTTATTTATTTATTTAGGCATTTTTATATAGCGCTTATCATAAAGCTCTAAGCGCTTTACAATTATTAAAACATGTAAACTAAGTAAATACAAATGAGACACTAGGATAGTTTGTTTTCATACGCAACTTTAGAGATCTGTACCCTAACCACATATGGATAGATAGAAAGATAGATAAATAGAAAGATAGATAAATAGATAGATAGATAGATAGATAGATAGATAGATAGATAGATAGATAGATAGATAGATAGATAGATAGATAGATAGATAGATAGATAGATAGATAGATAGATAGATAGATA